TGTTTCATTTATTTTTGGCATAAAATATGTTCTCTTATCTATCAAGAGGCGGGAGATTGGAGAAATATCGTGCATCGCGGGAATAGATATTTAAATTGGAAGCGATATAATCATGCATTGCAAGAGAATGAATCATGCATTGCGAAAGGAAGGAATCACACATTGCGAGAGGAAGGACTCATGCATACTAAGAGAAAGATGTCACGCATTGTAAGTGAAGGAAATCATGCATTGTGGAAAAGAAGTCATGCATTGCAAGAGAAGGAAATTGTGCATATGAAGAGAAATGAGTCATGCATTGAAAGAGAAGGAAGTCGTGCATCGTGGAAAATTGTGCATAAAATAAAAAGGAAGACATGCATTGCAAGAGAAAGATGTCATGCATTGCAAGAGAAGAAAATTGTTCATAGAAAGAGAAAGAGTCATCCATTGCAAGAGAAAGAAATCATGCATGGGAGGAGGAAGAAGTCATGCATCAAAAGACAATAAAATCATGCATAGGAAGAGGAAGAAGATATGCATTGCAAGATAACAAAATTGTACATTACAAGAGAAAGGCCAATACATTACAAAGAAGGAGACTATGTGTTGCAAGAAAATCAACATCAATTGCATTTTTTTATTTGGAAAGATGACATCAAAAGAATCATCAGCAACGACATTGGGAAAACTATCAACACATTGCATCAGTCTTTTATTACTTTGACATTAAAGAAAGAGTACATTGAAAATTATATTGCAAATATGAGATACAAGCTTTATTTATTTTACGTAAAAATCAATTGAGTTGATGTCAGATGTCCAAGGAGAGAAATTAAGTTTCAACACGGTAAAAGACATTGTCTCCTATTTGAATTTCCATTTTATGCTAATGAGTTTTATCTCAGTCTCCATCGAGATCACCCGGAAGTATGAATTCTCCAAAAGAAACCACAGGTGTTGATGACATCAAAAAGGATGCAACAAAACATGTAACCTTTTATTAGTAGCGAACTAGACATAGTCCAAAGCGGAGTTTCAAACTCTTACGACGCGAGCTGAGAAGTGACTTCCACCATAATCAAACCACACCCCTATCAGAAGTCATGTGGGTTCTTCTTTAGGCCTCTTCGTTTTAGTATTGTGTCTATAAATTCTTGTTTTTACCAAAAGCATGTTTCCAATCCAATTGACAATACAACAAGAGCTATAGAAATCTTGTCCGTTCAAGTTCTTAATTATAGGTGTCAAGAGCGCCACATACATGGCTAAGAGGTCGCATGCCATTTATTCATACTCAACTTACCTTGTCGCTTTTTTCCAGAACCAAAAGGTTATCTTGCAGAATAGATTTCCTTTTCAACCAATTGAGTCGAGCTACACGCAGTTTGATTCACTATATTGAGGGATATGTACGCAGAATCCGTGTTGAAAAATTGGCTATATCCCAACATTCTCTCTTTAATATTATTCTCGAGCATTCCAATCTCCTCATTAGTTGATATCAGGATTTCTTTTGAGTTCTTTCAAAATCGTGCGTTAAATCAAGCGTATCGAACTATAAGTAGCCTTAATTCTCATAGAGACTGATATATGTAGGAAATCCATTTGCGGGGTTTGACCATAATTCCTATTGTCCGTACTAAATACCTTTTCTAAGATGAAGATATGATTGGTCAAAATTAGATTCGTCAATTTCATTTTCCTTGAATTTCTTGCATCAAACCAAGTAAAATGTGGGACAATTATTGACAACCAATTTTGACCCACCACAATAGAAATTAATTTTTGAGCTCCTTAATCAAACAATTTGAAATAATTGGTTTTATGGAAAATCTCAAAATAAAATTTAAGATTTTAAAATGATTTTACTTATTTGTGTAATATTCAAATAATAAATGTGTTTTATATAGTACATATATTCAATTAGTATGTTCCACAAATAGTTGAAGTCGTCATGAAAAGATTTTACACTTTTAAGTTAAAATTTTTATTAATTTTATTTAGTCTTAACTATAGTTATGATGTAAGCTGATGCTTTAATTATTTTATGAGAAAAATTTGATTATTTTAATTCGTTAAGATTAAAAACTTCATTAATTAATTAATATTACTTCGTCCTATTTAATTTCTTCACAAAATACATTCAAATTTGGCTAAGTCTTTAATTATCTTGGCCTAATTTGCAATTTGTAATGATATTTCCTAGTTGTCATTCTATTACCTAACCTTAAACACATTTTTGGGCCTGGCATTCAACACAAATAATTTCCTAGCCCACATTTTTAATTAGAAATTTTTTCAAAATGTCAATATTTTAGTATTTAAGAGGACTCATTAGCAACAATTTCAATATTTAGTAAAAATGTCATTTTAGTTTGTTATGTATCTTATTTATTTTTTATTATTTATTTTTATTTAAAGAATATAATTATTTAATAACAAAAAGGAAAAAATTAAGGGGGAAT